TAATCAATGAATTATTGTATTTTGGCCGATATTATTGTTTACGAAGATATTAGATCTGTTCCACGAACTACTCCTAGTAAAACTCAAGTAAAACACAAGTAAAATTTACACGAAAATACACGGGAATTTGCTGATGGAACGCGCTTGTGTATACACAGTGTTATTCAAAGTTCCTACGAGTAACTCGTGGAACAGACCTATTGTTTACCAGCCCCTGCAAAATACATGCAAAATATTGAATATTTTTATGGTCCGTAGTAAGTGTTGGGCTAAGAAACATTGATTTAGACGTTATGTATTTAATCAGAAAATGTGTTCTTTTTAGCAAAGCAATTTACTTGGATCCGAAAAGAGTCAATTAAATGATTTAGGTGTCCATTTGCAACTATATCAGTATTGCTCTTAATAAGGATATTTCTTTTCAGTTGCGTATAAGGACGAGTAAATTTATAATTAAAACAAAATTCATAATCATACATGTATACATAATTTCTCTAATTATAAGATTATATCTATAATAATACAGGTATCATATACTATGACAATAGAGACAAAAATTTCCTCTCCACATAATAAACTAAGCTCCTTGCAATACCACAATATTCTCGAATAATTCTAGTTTAATTCACAATATTTTTCATCCTTTTCAAAGTGTTATCTGCTTCGATACTGTCTACAAATTTACGTATTAGTCTCCTTTTGTACTGTACTTATGTGCTTAAAATCAATCATTCAAATTTATGCTCAAATCAATCAATTCAACAGCAATTTGTATAGGTTTATTGTTGTGTTTGTTGTTGTTGTTGTTGTTGTTTCTTTGTTGTTATAATAATTAATTTCATATTACAATGTTTCACATTGTGATTTGATTTGATTTGATCTGATTTGCTTGCCCATATCAATTGGAGAAGGACTATGGATGTATAATTAAAGGTTGCCATTACTGTTGATGATACCACTACGCTTGCCTCTACAATTTAAATGAGTCAAGTAATTTGAATGCAATCAGATTTAAATTACTGTTTACTGAAGCGTAGATATCAGCACCGTCACGAATATACAGGGCATTTCAAGGCAACTTTACATTGCTTGATAAGATGCATTCACATAAAACAAAAAGATTTTATAATTATTTACAAGTGTGTATCATCTTCACATTTGTTTGAAAGTGCCTTAAATTTGGAAAATTAACGTCATCCCATGACATATGTACATCTCAAAAATGATTTATTCAAATACCTTGAAATATTTAAAGTATGTATGGTTTATGAGACCGCGTGAACACTGCGAGGCTTACTGCAGTTCTTTCTGGTCATTGGTTTATAGGAACCCAAGCAGAGAAACTGCGCATTCCTAGTAATCCTCACTGTCGAAGTTGTGGGAACCCGCAGGAAAAAAAAAAACCATAATACATTTTCTCTGTGAATGTCCGGCTTTAGCGGTCAGAAGATATAGGTTCTTAGAAAGATACTACTTTGATACTCATAGTTTATCAGACCTATTAAATTATCAAAATTTGGCGGGATGGATTTAGTCTTTACTGTTCTCTACTAGGGTTTTTGTGAGCAGTGTGGTAACAAAACGGCAAAAAATCTCTAATTGAGGTACATGGAAGTTATCTAATGGCGTGCCACCGCAACCAACGAATCAAGTATGGTTTATGAGTAAAGCTTTATCATGATATTATTTTTTATATAGAAGTGGGATTCTGTATATGTATATATACTTGGCACAAAGATATTCGAAAAATGCCTGCCAGTCAATACATCACATTTTAGAAGCTACGTAGTTGCCAATCTATTCTTTCTTAACCGTGCAACAATTAGAAGTACATATTTTTTTAAATGACCCGTTATATTCAGCTGTTATCAAAGCATATCTATATATGTATATATATACACATATAAATATAAAACTAAATATACATATACGGAATTGCACCTATGTTTGCATCAAAAGAATATAATTTTTCACATTTTCGATATTTTGTTAAATCAATTTATTGCAAAATTCTATAGTAATAGTAGTCGTTTGAGATACACTATTGTTTCAGTTGCAAATAAGTTATTTAAAGTATTATTATGTTTCAGTATGGAAAGTATCTGAATATGAAACCATTTGTGCCAATACCAACGTACATACGAGTATAAACTTAATGTGTTCACTGTATCTATTAGCAATTTGTTAGAAATTCTATTGTTTAATTAAGAAATTCCAACTTAGAATAGAAATTTATACTACAAACATAACAAACTGAAATCAAGCAATGCAGTGGAATATCAGAAGAAAGCAAGAGCATTTCATCCTTTGAATACAAATCTGAAGCAGGAAAAAACTCGCATAAAAGAAATTCTCACATCTCAGTTTACCACACACATTCACTAGGAGCTTGTTATTTCTAAAGAAGCTACTTTAAGTTGTGCTATGGCTCAATTTGCAACATTTGTTTTGATTTTTTTAATGGTGAAGCAGAAAGTGCAAAACCATAAACAACACAACAGACCAATAAGCTTTAATAACAAATTTCTCATGTTGAGGAGTTCTTTGCTTTGGAGTTCTGGATACATTGTTCGCATTTCGTATTTCTCCATATAAAATAACAGAAGTTCTAAGACAAAACATTTGCACAAAGGAAACGGAAGTGGAGGAGACCGCAAAGCTCAGTACGCCAGCGAAGCATGAAAAAATAAATGTGGAAATAGGAGAAAAAGAATTTGCTAGCTTCGCACCTTAGGAGTGTGCACATAACTCCAAGGTAAACTGATACTGCTGGGATGCACGCTTTCGCATAGCCGTAGATAACGAAGAAAAAAATATATCATCATCTTGCAACATATTTTCGCATATTCCATTTGCTTTCTGAGACTTTTTTTTTAATAGGAGTAGAAGAACGGAAAAACAAACTCAAATTGATATTAATTCAGCATTTTTGTTATGTAGTTTAGAATACTAAATGAAATCAGTTTATTCACACAAAAATAAACTACAAAGAAATCAAAACATTTAAATACAAAGAAATATATGAAATTACACATTCATAAAATAAATAAAAATTAGAAGAAAATAGATATATACAATTTATAAAAGTAAATAAAAAAACATTATCTATTTGTTAAGATACGATACTATATATTCGTTTTAACATTTTTCGAACATTTTTATAATTTTATGTATAGAACAATTTATTTTCGGAACAAGTTTCTCTTTAGTTACTGCTTCGTCATTCCAACCAATTCCAACCATTTTTTTCCCAGACATATGCTTATAAAGAATATATGGTAGTCATTGGTGACTAGTCTACCATCTACTAACTGAAAAGAATACAACTGAAATTGCAATTCTTATCTCCGTTACAATCAAATTATGACTTTGTTTATTACTTTAATAAAAGAGCAGCTGGTAGTCATTATTCTAGCAAACAAATCATAAATACATTAATCATTCGGTATTCAATAAATATGTTAAATGTACATATGTTTTTTTTTGATTCTTATATGAAACATAGATCGCCAACAACACCTCTTCGTCAACACATGGCTTCATCAACAACTTTGCTCGATTTTTTGTTACATTTTTTGTTCATTTTAGATCAAATCTATACTGCTTCCGGCGGCCCTTCTTTTACTGCCATTACTTTTTGACATTCTAACCCATTTATATGTTTTTGTTATTCTTTTTAAGTTATTTGCTTTATAAATCCCAACAACAACAACAAGTGCTGTGTAGCCTGTCAATGCTGCGACCTGAAGATCGCCTATTTGACTATGTTGTCAACAAGTTTTTTTTTTCTGGATATGACAGATCCAATTTCATTTTGCTCACCGAATTTCGGTAACAACATTAAGCTGGCTTGCAGAACTAGTTAAAGTAATAGGCCAAAATATTCGCATAAAGATCGCATCTATTGATGAAAGTCTGAAGGCGTCACATAATCGCTAAAGTTGCTTTATAGGTGGCAACTTATAGTACAGAGATGTATACTATTATTTTCCCCATAATGTTGCGACTATACTGAAAGAAGACAAAATTTATTCTGTGTTCGACATTAAGCTCAGTGTCTTCATCTGCAGTAAACATAGATTCTATATAGCATTTTTTTTAAAAGATTTTAAAATTGTTGTAAAGAGGGGTCTTGAAGATACCTCGAGTCAATAAAGAGTAAAAGTGCTAAAGTGCACTGGCTCAAACAGCTTCAACATAATAAATATTTTTATATCTTCTAGTTTTAGATATAGCAATTCTCTACTTTCCAGTCTGATTGTTTGCTTACAGACCAGACAGGAGGGTCCACATTCTCAACGTCAAGTCTCACAACCTATATGAAAGCAAACAGATGTCATGAGCAAGATAACACAATAAAACAGGAATGTGTTATTAATATAACATTCAATACAACTGTGTTGGTGTTGGAGGCAAGAAGCAACCACTTACTTGGCGATAAGGAACGCACAATTTCTAATTATATAAAACATGGCAAAATGCGATATTTTAGTTTACCAAATAATCTCCTATAGACTTCAGAACCATTTCTTCAAAGACAATATATAAAATATGTATTTTAAAGTTACTTATAAAAATTGAGGAAAATTGCAAACTGAAGTTTGCCATACTCCAATGGAAAATAACTATTTTTTAATGCACATTATATTAAAAAAGAATTCAAAGCGTAATTAAAATTTCTTTAGAAAAAAAATATTTAATTATATATTCTTAATCGCTTTACTATACACATGAAACTCATCCCATACCAAATATAAAACATGTTTTTAAACGTTAAGGATTTCTATCTATCAAATTGCAATAGAGGTTTAGCAAAAGGTTTTGAACCAATCGCATCTTCTGATTTTAAATATATGCGGAATCATTGCAAAATAAATAAAAAACACTGCATACGAAATTAAAGTCAACAATGAACGAAATTCAAATATATTTTATGTGACATATTTTATATACAGAAGTTACTTATAATCATTATAAAAGAATAGTTATTTTGACTTAACAGTAATTGATTTATCTTTATTATTGAACTACAAACATTTATTAGTTCTTTTCTGGTTGGTGTTCAAAAAAAGTATTTAAGTATTTATAAACCTATTAGTTTTTTACAACGACTTACAAACCCAAATATATTCACCCATTTGAATGACACACTTCCTTTTTTAACTTTTTTGTATCCCCAATATAGGATAAACGCCAACATAATTACTTTTACCCATTTGAATGTGGAATTAATGTTTTTGTTTTCATCGGGATCGTCACTTCCAGGATCCATTCTAAATGAAAAACTTAAATATAGCTGTCGCCACGTGTAATTTTGATTTGGACCATCGAAGATATCATCCGAAATTGCTAATACATCATCGGAACCATAACTTATAATTGATAGGCTCGAATTGGATGCATCAGCATCATAAGAAGTTAGTGTTGGTGTGGCGGCAGAAATAAACTCAAAAGATATATCTGATTCTGAATCCATAAAATCCTGAACACATGAAAAATTGAAATATTTTATATTCGTTGAATAATAAATTAAACATATTTTACCATTTTGCTAATATTAACAATTTGTATATTCTTATAAAAATTATTTTTAACCCGAGCGAACAATTTGAAGCAATGTGAAAAAAAGTTTGATGTTTTCTATATGAAACACATCTTCACATTAATTGTTTTGATTCTGCAAATGACAAATAAATTTTTAAATAAACTGTATATGTATAGTACGCAACAAAATCTGCTTATTAAAAATCATATATCTCTTACATGAGAGGTATGTTTTAAATGTTATGACAATAGATAAGTCAATTGAAGTCCAATTGAAGAAGAAGTGTTGCTGAAACAGTGATGGAAGTCTGTTGTTGATGGAGTATTCGGCCGTTTGTGATTGTAATCACAATAGTAAAATAGTGATCGAACTATCTATTGTGATCGTATTATATACAATAGTACATTAGTTTTGGTGAGAAAGGTGTATTAAAAGCATGGGTTTCTTTGTTTTGGATCACTCGTAACATATTTAAAATAATTGCGTGGAGTTGAAATTGAATTTATTATTCACAATAGTACAATTGATACAACGTTTACGAGCACAACTACAAAAGTAATACGAGAAGCAGATTTAAAATAACATCAGGATTTGCTGTGTGAAAAGGTTTTTAGTGAGGCAAGCAGAACGATAAAAATTACAATCCAGTTTACAATAATTTGTGCGGTGTGAATAGACTTTAAGATACTCTATGTTTTGCGTGCAATATAAAAATTGCATGATATTAATTTAGTGATACGTAATAACAAGTTATTTACGAAATATAATAGTCCAACAATGTGTCACAGTGGCATTGTTCATGCCCAAATAACTATTAATTAATTACTACTTTAATATTTAACCACAGTTCTACTATATAATAAAATAGATTTAAAGGAAAATTTGAAAGAAATAAATATAATATATAAATGCATGTAAAATTAAAATAAGTTTTTAATATAGAGAGTTTGAGTTCACAGCGAAAACGTCACCTCTAACCATTTTACTCCGAAAAAGTACTAGAGACCTATATGCTTAGAAAAAAATACTTATTGGACATATGCAAACGAAAAGTATCTAATTTTCATAATGTAAGATATGTACTATATGTTTCTCAATTATAAATTAGAATCATACATGTTATATATTACAGAGTCCAAAGATTTGAACTAAATACTTGCTTCCCATACAAACAAATAAAACTTAATAAAAAGAAACTCGTGGAAGCACTAATGTAGTTATTCCAAAATGAACAAAGTCCAAATATCACGTTTAATGATGGTCGGTACAAAGTCATCACTAAATATTTTTTTTAACAAAATGGATTAATATGCATTTAACCGTTTTTTGTTTTCACAAGACGGAACTACATGATATATTATAGATTATTAGCAAAATCAAAAAGTTATTTATATATTTCTGTAGGCATGAAAAACGCCTTCACATGCAACATGAACTTGTGTTATATAAACAAGGTCACTTGTAACTTCTGTTCCAATTTTATCACTTATTAACATAACATCAACCATCTGTTTCTTTCTTTCTCCTTTTTTATTCTTCCTAACTTTCTCTTATCATCTCTTCTTGTATTTTTAAGTAAGTCTTGTTATTCTTATGTTTTCTTATTTTTAAAAACACGATCTTATTCAATAATTAATAAAGGTTTGCATACATATCTACGGTACACTATAATACTTTATAATGTACGGTACTTAAAACTGTACCGTACATAGTCTTTATGATACTGTGTTATTTGACACAATCACACAAGATAAATTGTACGAGGCAGCCATTTTTATTATGAGAGAGACTGACGTGAAAATGTGTGAGCAAAGTAAGTAAATGCCATTTTTAATATTTACACTCATACAGGGTCAACCAACAGGGTCAAAAAAAAGGCAGTTAAAAAACTCTCAACTCTCTCTTATTGATAAAAAAAAATTTTATGAAAAATAATCCTCAGATAATAAGACATGAACATATGAAAAATGAACAAAAAATTTTACAAAATTTTGAGAAAAATTAGATTTTACAAAGTGTTATTTTATATTTCATTATAGTTTCTTAACCCAATTAAATAGAAGGACATATTACCCATGTAATTATTGAATATTTAACAATATGAAAACTGGTATATAATGCATTACATTATATGCATTTGCTAAAGTCTAGGAACGGTCGGATCTATGCTTCGTAGCCTTTCATGTATACAGACCATGAAGTATCGTTCGCCTCTCCTGACAAAGAAAGATAAGCAGGTCTCTTACGATTAATCGCTGACTACATTATATCCATGCGATAGGATCGCATTTCACCAATTCCCGTTTTTCACTTTCACTTCCATATCACATTTGTTCACTTAATATCTAAACCAAGTAATGACATTATACAACCTCAAGGCATAATGGTTTTAATGGAAGCTGAATATATTTATATGGAATTCAAAATGTAGTATGATATAGACAGAAAGAATAGAATTTTTGTTTATATATTTAATAACTGTCAGTTATAAGTAATATGAATCATGCGTTAAGGTGAATGTTAAGGTGAATAACACCTAAAAACGTTACAAGCGTACTATCAATGGTTGAGATGCATCTGTTTTCTGGGTTTCTGTGTTATTGTTAATAATTTATTTATTTATAATCAATAAAACCAGCAAAGTGATTTTTTATATAAAATGGTAGAATAACAACAACACGGTTGTGTCAACGCAGATATGTTTAACAATTGAAAAACAGATTAGAACTTGAAGGAGTAAATCAGTATGAAAAATGCAGAAATATAAAAAAAATAATATAATTTATAAATAATAAATATTATATTATTTATTTTATAAAGAAACTTTTCAACTACAACAACAAAAATTCATTTTATATTATTTTAATTAATTGAATTTTTGGTTGACCATAATAGCTACGAGTATTGCCAAATCAATGGTCTTTGAATTATTTCTTTTATTTAATTATTCGTAAATAGTGTTTTTTTTAATATTGCAAGTACCAAAACTCGAACTTGTGCCCTTCCAAATTTGAACCTCAGAGTCAACGCTCCTTAACCAACTGTCCCAAAGCAGTACTTGACTTTTGTGAAAGTTAAGTTTTATTATTTTATATTTATCATTTACTGTATAAAATTGGAAACTTAGAAAGCACGAAAAACCTTTATTATTATAACAATTTAAAAAAATTTGATCGTTCAATTAAAATCTCAAAATCAAGGATTTCGTGAAATTGAAGAAATATACAAAATTTTCACAAAAATTTCATAAAATACCCATGAAATTCATCAAATTTACAACGATTGCATTTTGATTTTGTATTGTCAGTTTTTGTCAGTTTTTGTCAATCAGCAATTCAAACAAGCAACCAAGCCGACATATAGACAGACAAATGAATATTGTATGACTACTGTATGTCAAAGCCACGGGTAGACGAACAGACTACCGGAACAGACAGCCAAATCCACACGAATATGCATACTTGACATGCTTAAAAATTGAAATACGTTTGCACTTCAAGCTTATTTATAATAAATTATTGCATGAAAGGCAGCAGGTGAAGCAGAAGGTGAGGCCACAGGTGAGGCAGCAGGCGAGGCATGCATGCACGCATGCTGCACAACATGTTTAAAGCATTTTACTGAATTATTTTTGTATAATTTTACTCAGAGCAAATCATTTCCAAAAAAGTTTTTATTTATTCAACCAATACATTTACATCTTTGGTTTTAAATTGTTGCCTTCTTACCGAAACTGTATGCTTGCATATTTGCTGAATGCCTTACACCACAAACTGCATGCTAAACGTTTCATACAGCATACAGCATGCTGTATGTTACATGCTGCTTGCTGCATGCTGCATGCAGTACGATTTGTTGGTTTTGACGTATTGCTTTTAGACATATTTGATTTCCAATTTTATACGAAACGTTAAATCGCAACAGCAAAGACCGTAAAACATTTTTGCGATGCATGTGTAAGATAGATGTAGGTGAGGTGATGAGGGCTGACTACTGCTATATACATATTTGTTGATCTGCTTATTGTTGTATTTGTTGCAATATTGGTGTAGCAACTGAAGTTAGTAGAGATTTCTACGCTCTGATGCATTTCATTTCATTTAAGCAAAACAAATTTACAACACGGCATATGTCGTATCACAGGAGCATAGAGCAATCCTGTGAACCATTCGAAGTTGAAAAAGACACTATACAGCCGAGATTGTAAGTGAAGCCGAGAAGCTAACGCCGCAGCTAGAGCTATCTAAAGCGGTACATCTTGTGGCATTTGGCATGTAAATCTGTGGAATTGGCAATAAATTTTACTGGTGTTGACTTTTTGGCAAAATATTTTCCATCGAAATTTTATGTACAGATTTTGTTAGGTTTACTTTAAATCTGTGGAAAAGGAAGGCAAACAGCGCAGAGCAGAGCAGAGCCGAGCAGAGCATACTTTTGACTTTTAGTTTTTAGCTTAACTTTTCAATGCAAAGCCTTTTTGCCAATCCGAGTCTAAGGTAATTTCACAATTGGCTGCAAATGGAGGAAAGTAAAGTATTTGATTTATTTATACATGCAAGCCAATGTGCATTTATGCAAGAATGTTCCTTTGCATATTTGTGCACTTAATGACAATGAAATTGATTGACAACATTTGAGAAACTAAATTTTGAACATATTATGCTAAAATCTTTGATTTATAGCAATTTTGAGTTATTTGTAGTTGATTTATGAATATATGCGTTGATATCATTTACTTAAGCAAATATATTTAATATTAAACATGGTTTCAAATTTAAATGAAATTACCTATATTTCTCAAAACTTAAATTGGGTTAAAAATAATAAAATAAAGGGTAGAATTAAAGTATCTAGTAACATTTTAGAATATTTATTATTATTTTGTAATATTTTTTTCACTCTCTCTCTTTCACTTTCACTTATCTTTCTTTTCTCTCTGCTCTTTCTCTCTCTCTCTCCTCTTTCTCTCTCTCTCCTCTTTCTCTCTCTCTCTTCTCTTTCTCTCTTCTCTCTCTCCTCTTTCTCTCTTCTCTCTCTCCTCTTTCTCTCTTCTCTCTCCTCTTTCTCTCTTCTCTCTCTCCTCTTTCTCTCTTCTCTCTCTCTCCTCTT